TCTATATTTCTGAGATGAGGTATTATGTACACTATTTACATTATTCAGACTATTGTCCTCATCTTTGTCGCCATATTTATTACAACGTTTCGGCCTTTCAGTATCTGTCTATATTTCTGAGATGAGGTATTATGTACACTATTTACATTATTCAGACTATTGTCCTCATCTTTGTCGCCATATTTATTACAACGTTTCGGCCTTTCAGTATCTGTCTATATTTCTGAGATGAGGTATTATGTACACTATTTACATTATTCAGACTATTGTCCTCATCTTTGTCGCCATATTTATTACAACGTTTCGGCCTTTCAGTATCTGTCTATATTTCTGAGATGAGGTATTATGTACACTATTTACATTATTCAGACTATTGTCCTCATCTTTGTCGCCATATTTATTACAACGTTTCGGCCTTTCAGTATCTGTCTATATTTCTGAGATGAGGTATTATGTACACTATTTACATTATTCAGACTATTGCTTCCGTCTTTGTCGCCATATTTATTACAACGTTTCGGCCTTTCAGTATCTGTCTATATTTCTGAGATGAGGTATTATATACACTATTTACATTATTCCGAGTATTGCTTCCGTCTTTGTCGCCATATTTATTACAACGTTTCGGCCTTTCAGTATCTGTCTATATTTCTGAGATGACGTATTATGTACACTATTTACATTATTCCGAGTATTGCTTCCGTCTTTGTCGCCATATTTATTACAACGTTTCGGCCTTTCAGTATCTGTCTATATTTCTGAGATGAGGTATTATGTACACTATTTACATTATTCCGAGTATTGCTTCCGTCTTTGTCGCCATATTTATTACAACGTTTCGGCCTTTCAGTATCTGTCTATATTTCTGAGATGAGGTATTATGTACACTATTTACATTATTCCGAGTATTGCTTCCGTCTTTGTCGCCATATTTATTACAACGTTTCGGCCTTTCAGTATCTGTCTATATTTCTGAGATGAGGTATTATGTACACTATTTACATTATTCAGACTATTGTCCTCATCTTTGTCGCCATATTTATTACAACGTTTCGGCCTTTCAGTATCTGTCTATATTTGAGATGAGGTATTATGTACACTATTTACATTATTCCGAGTATTGCTTCCGTCTTTGTCGCCATATTTATTACAACGTTTCGGCCTTTCAGTATCTGTCTATATTTCTGAGATGAGGTATTATGTACACTATTTACATTATTCAGACTATTGTCCTCATCTTTGTCGCCATATTTATTACAACGTTTCGGCCTTTCAGTATCTGTCTATATTTCTGAGATGAGGTATTATGTACACTATTTACATTATTCAGACTATTGCTTCCGTCTTTGTCGCCATATTTATTACAACGTTTCGGGCCTTTCAGTATCTGTCTATATTTCTGAGATGAGGTATTATGTACACTATTTACATTATTCCGAGTATTGCTTCCGTCTTTGTCGCCATATTTATTACAACGTTTCGGCCTTTCAGTATCTGTCTATATTTCTGAGATGACGTATTATGTACACTATTTACATTATTCGGACTATTGTCCTCATCTTTGTCGCCATATTCATTACAACGTTTCGGCCTTTCAGTATCTGTCTATATTTCTGAGATGAGGTATTATGTACACTATTTACATTATTCCGAGTATTGCTTCCGTCTTTGTCGCCATATTTATTACAACGTTTCGGCCTTTCAGTATCTGTCTATATTTCTGAGATGACGTATTATGTACACTATTTACATTATTCGGACTATTGTCCTCATCTTTGTCGCCATATTCATTACAACGTTTCGGCCTTTCAGTATCTGTCTATATTTCTGAGATGAGGTATTATGTACACTATTTACATTATTCCGAGTATTGCTTCCGTCTTTGTCGCCATATTTATTACAACGTTTCGGCCTTTCAGTATCTGTCTATATTTCTGAGATGAGGTATTATGTACACTATTTACATTATTCCGAGTATTGCTTCCGTCTTTGTCGCCATATTTATTACAACGTTTCGGCCTTTCAGTATCTGTCTATATTTCTGAGATGAGGTATTATGTACACTATTTACATTATTCAGACTATTGTCCTCATCTTTGTCGCCATATTTATTACAACGTTTCGGCCTTTCAGTATCTGTCTATATTTCTGAGATGAGGTATTATGTACACTATTTACATTATTCAGACTATTGTCCTCATCTTTGTCGCCATATTCATTACAACGTTTCGGCCTTTCAGTATCTGTCTATATTTCTGAGATGAGGTATTATGTACACTATTTACATTATTCGGACTATTGTCCTCATCTTTGTCGCCATATTTATTACAACGTTTCGGCCTTTCAGTATCTGTCTATATTTCTGAGATGAGGTATTATGTACACTATTTACATTATTCGGACTATTGTCCTCATCTTTGTCGCCATATTCATTACAACGTTTCGGCCTTTCAGTATCTGTCTATATTTCTGAGATGAAGTATTATGTACACTATTTACATTATTCAGATTATTGTCCTCATCTTTGTCGCCATATTTATTACAACGTTTCGGCCTTTCAGTATCTCTCTATATTTCTGAGATGAGGTATTATGTCCACTATTTACATTATTCAGACTATTGTCCACATCATGGTCGCCATATTTATTACAACCTTTCGGCCTTTCAGTATCTGTCTATATTTCTGAGATGAGGTATTATGCACAATATTTACATTATTCCGAGTATTGCTTCCGTCTTTGTCGCCATATTTATTACAACGTTTCGGCCTTTCAGTATCTGTCTATATTTCTGAGATGAGGTATTATGGACACTATTTACATTATTCAGATTATTGTCCTCATCTTTGTCGCCATATTTATTACAACGTTTCGGCCTTTCAGTATCTCTCTATATTTCTGAGATGAGGTATTATGTCCACTATTTACATTATTCAGACTATTGTCCACATCATGGTCGCCATATTTATTACAACCTTTCGGCCTTTCAGTATCTGTCTCTATTTCTGAGATGAGGTATTATGTACACTATTTACATTATTCAGACTATTGTCCTCATCTTTGTCGCCATATTTATTACAACGTTTCGGCCTTTCAGTATCTCTCTATATTTCTGAGATGAGGTATTATGTACACTATTTACATTATTCGGACTATTGTCCCCATCTTTGTCGCCATATTTATTACAACGTTTCGGCCTTTCAGTATCTGTCTCTATTTCTGAGATGAGGTATTATGTACACTATTTACATTATTCGGACTATTGTCCCCATCTTTGTCGCCATATTTATTACAACATTTCGGCCTTTCAGTAACTGTCTATATTTCTGAGATGAGGTTTTATGTACACTATTTACATATCCTTAAGGACACATGGCACAGTAAATAAAGACGGAGATGGGGGAATTAACAGGAGATAAGTGACATCTATTAAACATGGAAGGTGGAACTAGAACAGTCTACCCCAGTAAGCAAAATAAAAGGGTTCAGCTCGACATTCCAACCACCTTAAGGAGGCCGGAGCATACAACGACCGAAACGTTGTAATAAATATGGCGACAAAGTTGAGGACAATAGTCTGAATAATGTAAATATTGAACTGTTCACGTGAGCTAATTGGAATTTTATTGACTAGTGAAAGACTTCCGGGCCATACGGGTGGCTTGATTGGCTTTCCCTAAATCTGCCGGAAAGAATATTTTCTTTATGAAGACTCTCACCTGCACAGGCCAATAGACATAGATTTAGATTTTTTTAAAATACGTGCATCTACTAAATATATCCTTTTAAGTGATGCTAATAGATCAAGTTCTGTTTTTACTGCAGAAATCGGTAAATGCAACGGCCACTTCTACTCCAACCGTTTATTTTCTCGTACTTCCCACATGTGGGACTTCCTTCCGTTTACTTGCTTCCCTGAAAACTACAATCTTCAAAAATTTAAATGCAACATCAATCGCCATTTTCTGTCTTCTTGAATCCCGTTCATATTTTGTCCTTTCCTCAATCCTCCCTTATACCCAGTCTTCTCTTTCACTTTCATTGCCTGTAAACCACTGCGTAAACTTGGCATTACAACCTTGCATGGGAAGAAATGATTTTTTTAAATAAAATAAATAAATATAAAACAAATAAATATAGATATAAAATAAATAAATAAAATAAAATAAATAAAGTCCGATTATAAATAAAAAAAAATATTTCTTAGGAAATACTTTGTTTACGTATCGGAGATGATAATTAACTGATACAGGATTCGATGGAAACGAATACGAGATGTGTATTTCTTAAATAAGTTAATCGAACTTTACTTGTCTGTGAGAATCTTACGTTGTTGAGCGATCTAAATGTACACTGGGCTTAACATGAGTTTCCCCAAAAAGATGTGAGGATATATTAGGCAACTTCTTTATTAAGAGTATCAAATATACAGGCCGGTAGACATAAACATGCAATAATTTAAAAAAAAAAGGAGTGTCTATTCAATAACTTATATCCACTAAATATAACGTTTAAAGCAATAAGAAATCTCCCTACAGTGCTGCGCAAAAGTGCAAAAAAGAGCACAATGCATTTAATATTACAGAATAAAATCCAAAATCACCTCATATGGGGAATAGTCTATTTCGGCAGACGAAGATATCGGTCTTATCAGCCTCGGCGTAGAGTCAGTTTATGTCAGAAATAGAAATTTAACTGTGAATGCTAATATATATAAAAGCAATTTAGCGAGTCTAGAAGAAACCTCAACAGAATGCAGGAAGCACTGGACGGACGTTTCGTCCTATATTTGGAACTCATCAGCAGTGCGCATCCACTACCGAGAATTGATACGCAGACAGTTACGTTATCAGGCAAACGTCATAACAACTGTACTGACGGGCCTATCTATATTTTTTATTAATAAGTATATTGGTTTTCTATCATTATATTCAGATATACATGCAATGTAAATATATGCACCCAGTATAGGTAATTATATTTAAATAAATTCCTTTATAGTTTTATCTATCTATCTATCTATCTATCTATCTATCTATCTATCTATCTATCTATCTATGTACAGCGCTGTGCAAAAGAAAGTGAACTCCTAATATAATAATAAGATAATATTTAAAATAATTGTCTCTTTTTTCCAGATAATTAACAAATGTTAATTAAATTATATATTCATTAAGAAAAACCAAAGATTTTCTTCAAGCTTGAATAAAAATAATAATTAAAAATTAAAATGTGCAAGAGTAAATGAATCTTTACATTTAATATTTGGTGACTATTTCTTTTGAGATTACAATGTCAAATAGTCTTTTTTCTATAATTTATAAGTTTCGAGCACATTAGGAAATGGACAAAGTCTGACAATTATTTTTAAGATATTTTTTTTATGTTTATACGTTTTTTTATAGATACAAATATTTAAGTAAATGCTCTGTTTATAATAAACAGTATTAACAACATCTACCGTCCTGAATGTCCGAGAAATTTTTAAAGAAAATATGCGCCCTCCGACAGGAATCGAACCTGTATCCTATACGGAACCGTCATATAGCCTGACATAAAAAAATGTCTTAAAATAATTGTCGGACTTTGTCCATTTCATGTGTGACGTCATTTGTTTACATTTGGATACGCATCGAGCAGATATGAATGTACATGAGAAAATCATGGAAAATTATAGTTTAAAAACAGTAAAATCGACCTTGCTGACCGAAACGCTCCTCTGTGGCTCAATCGGTAAAAGCACGTCAGGCTATGACTGTTCCATATAGGATGCAGGTTCGATTCCTGGCGGAGGACGAATATTTTTTATGAAAATTTCTCGGACATTCAGGCCGGTAAATGTTGTTAATTCTATTTATTATAAACATAGCATTTACTCAAATATTTGTATCTATAAAAAAAGAACGTATAAACATAAAAAATATCTTAAAATAAAGTTTTTAGCAGTATTGAGTGTCGATTTTTGGCCATTATTCTTGGCAAAACTGCCACAATTGCTCGATATTATCTGAGGGCGTTTTCGCGCAAGTGAATATAACGAACCCAACTGGAATTGGAACTCAGCTCTCTGATTAATAATTCCAAGCCATTATCCATCACACTATCCGCACGTCTAAGCTTAAAACACCTGCTATTTCTAAGCGGTTACCAGTTAAGTTAATGACTTTACTTCAATGATCGTACGAGAATCAGTGTTTCAACGTGATATAGCCGTAAACTTCCCTGTTTCTTTTCTATTAATTACCTGCCATGACCCTGCCTCAAGTTTTAAATTGGAGACTGCCAGATATAAATTGTCAAATCTCGATCGTCTTATTCCAGTGATACTTTTTTTAACCAAAATCTTTAAACGCTGGCATCAATTTTTAATCATCAAGAAGGTAACTCTTAATTAGCTTCCAAATTCTAATTGCTCGTCAAAGAATCTCTTGTAATGAGAAGTAAAAACACAAAAATCTTAATCGGTTAAATTAATTGGGCGGTTAATTTTGTGTCAAGTTGCTGAGAGCAATCAGCTATTTTTAACTGAACCCGTCGATGGATCAATGTGATCAGCCCATGTTACGAGCAATTGATTTCGATCGCTGATCCAGTGTGATCATCTTCCTTCTGACTGGATTGAAAGTTTTCTGGAAGCAAAATCATTTAATCAGAGTGGCAGTGTCAGATTAAAAGTTTCTAATCAGAGAGAAGGCCGGAGAATATGGCAAGAAAGTTTAATGGCGACAAATCACGATGTATTGAAAAAAGTGAGTACACTTTTTACATTATTTGACTATTATTCACATCTTTGTGGCCATGTTTATCACAACGTTTATTTCACTTACTGGGGTAGACTGTTCTAGTTCCACGTGCCATGTCTAATGGATGTCAGTTGTGAACGTGAAACTAGAACAGTCTACCCCAATGAGCGGAAAAAAGGGTTCAGTTCAACATTCCAACCACCTGAAGAAGGCTGACGCGTATAACGGCCGAAACATTGAAATAAACATGGCGACAAAGAAGAGGACAATAGTCCGAATAATGTAAATAGGGTACATAATACCTCATCTCAGAAATATAGACAGATACTGAAAGGCCGAAACGTTGTAATAAATATGGCGATAAAGATGAGGACAATAGTCCGAATAATGTAAATAGTGTACATAATACTTCATCTCAGAAATATAGACAGATACTGAAAAGCCGAAACGTTGTAATAAATATGGCGATAAAGATGAGGACAATAGTCCGAATAATGTAAATAGTGTACATAATACCTCATCTCAGAAATATAGACAGATACTGAAAGGCCGAAACCTTGTAATAAATATGGCGATAAAGATGAGGACAATAGTCCGAATAATGTAAATAGTGTACATAATACCTCATCTCAGAAATATAGACAGATACTGAAAGGCCGAAACCTTGTAATAAATATGGCGATAAAGATGAGGACAATAGTCCGAATAATGTAAATAGTGTACATAATACCTCATCTCAGAAATATAGACATTTTGTCAAATGACGCAAACGGAATTTTGGCCAAACGCGGACTGGAATAAAACAAACGGAACGACTATTTACTGATAAAGGAAAATGATCCATGTAAATTTATAAAGAGATTACTAAATGGCAGAAATAGTTGTGATTTGGCGGCTCGAATTCAATCTCTTTCCCACCGCCGTAAGGTTGCCGCTCTCTCTCTCTCTCTCTCTCTCTCTCTCTCTGCCTTTTTATAATACTTTTATTTGGTTTATTTTCTTGTAAATAGATTTGTATTCATATTGTAAATACTCAATGGGGTTAGTTTTTAAATTGTTGTTTTATTCCCCTGCCCCCACAGACAATGAATTGTACATATGGGGTTTAGTTAGGACTTTCATAGAGACAATGACGTATTATGGTGGATGTAGTAAGAAAGGTAATTAAGAATGCCTTGTTTTGCTGTAAGGAATACTGTCGTATGTTTGGGTCAGTGTTTGTGGCTAGCTAGGTCTAAAGTTAAGACAGAAGAAGACCGTCATCCCCCCCATTCCCTGTTGGCATTGTGCCATGTTTTCTGTATTTAAGCAGAAATAAATATCGCTCTTCGCCATGGTACCTAAACTCTTTGAATCTAAGTGCAGTACGAGACTGACGTCGAGATCTCATCAATTTACACGTGACCTGGCTAGATGTAACCGTAAATTCTATGTTAACAGCTTCTTTTCTCGGACTTCTCTCTGGTGGAACTGCCGCCCGTCTCCTTGCTTTCCAGAAAACTTTCATCTGCAAATATTTAAATATAATGTCAATCGCTATCTACTGTCCTTCTGATTGCTCTTTTCGCTTTCTGCTCATTATTAATGTTTCTGTTCCTAATTCGTCCACACGCTGTAAACCCTTTGTGTCTTAGTGGCTTTACTGTCTTGTATGGGGTGATACTGATTTTAAAAAAAGGTTTATCAATACCATCAACTGTTTTTTTTTTTTATTTCTTTTTATATTTGGGCTGGAGCTGCACAATCCTTACTTTCCTGCTTTGACGGAATTCAAAAGCATTTGCACGTCCCTGGGGGTGATAAATTATCTTCCACTTTACAACTCCTTTTCGCACAGATTATACATTGCTATTTTCTCTCTACTCTATCCTTGTTTTAATGACAGATGTTCATATCTAGGACTCGCCATGCCACGTATACTGTCGACTAAACACCATTCCTTTCGGATTCTATTAATAAAGAGGAATTTCCACTCAGACAGCCTCTTCCCCAGAGCTGTTACGTTGAGGAAAATGTTGTTTTTTTTTTTTTCAGATAAAATATTTTCCCGAATACTACAATCTTAGCCTCTTCAAGTCTAGGGTCAACCATTTTCTATCCTACATATCCTTATAATTTACACCACGTGCTCCCTCCTCGTATGTACTTACGATAACCTCATTCAGTAAACCTCTACCATGAGTGGCTCTTGGGCTTTGTATTGGGCGAACAATAATATGAAACAAACATAATATAGGGGTCAGTAGTTATCTATCTTACATATCCTCAAAATATGCACTGCTTACTCCCTCCTTGTACGCCCTTGCAGTAACCTCATTCAGTCGATCTCTACCAGAAGTGACTCTTGGGCTTTGTATTGGGTGAACAATAATAAAGAAAGATCTGACCTTGTAATAACAAAATTGTGAAGTCAAACAGAGAGAAAAGAACGTATGTGCCTAGTGTTCACATAATTCTCTTAAATACAGATTATATGTGTTTGTATCTGATTGTATAGCTAGCGAATTAATTGATTGGGGTGAACTTAGATTTGCTATACATATATTTTGTAATCCCCTGTGTGTTATGAATATATTGGCAACGAGCTAAACTGTAACTGTAAAGAAAACCTGCTATTTTGCGCGTATTCTTTTTCTGTGTGTTTGGTTAGTTTAACGCTTACCGGCACCAAAAAGGGGATTAGTGAGTTGCATTCCTCGTCCGTTGGGTTCATTTTACACTAATACCCTTGGGAAAGGTAAGAATCTGTCTCTTCTCCAACCTTTACCAGCTATGGGTTCAACATCAAAGGTTTTTGATTAGTCCCTCTAGCAAACAGTTTAGGAGATGATCAACGCTGACTTCAAAACTATAGAAAAAGCCAAGGGTAACTCCACCATTATCTTTACCAAGTATCACTGCTTGGGAAAGATAAATTATGCTTGGAAATTTACAGATACAAAAAGAAAGAATAAAAAAAATTAACCCTTTAATTCAAATGATTTAAACAAAATATAAATAGAGAATAAATTTTATATTCAAAATATTGCAAAGAACAATTTTCTGTTTCGCTTTGTATCCTATATTATCTAATGAAAGGGAAAAAGCAAAAACGGAAGGAGGGATGCCATTTATTGATGTATTATAAAAATAAAATACCGTTCTGGGTATGACGATAAACTACATCCACGTCCTGGGTAAGACAATAAACTACGTCCAACAGCAAGGCCTTTGATCAGGAGCTGTTGAGGATCGTGGACCCACCTCTTAATTGCTGGTGTTCCCAGGTCCACCCTGACCTGTTAGGGTCCCAGCTATAGGCAAATAGTTAACCCCCATACTGGAGTCAAACATTATGAAAGTGTAAAAATAGGTTTTAATACCAGAAATACTTTGTAAGAATTATTACCAGCAGTTAATTTTTGAAGAAAAAAATTATTACCAGCAATACATTAATACCAGCACTATATTTTTGCAAAAAAAAAATTAAAAATTGCCACAGATACATTTTTGAGAAAAAAATATTACCAACAATAAGAATTTTGTCGGCATTAAATAACCCATTAAATTAGATATGCCGTAAACCAAACGAAACTAAAGCGAACAAGAAAATAACAAAAGAAAATAAGAAATTTTACAAAAAAAGAATCATAAAACAAGATATTTGAATCCTTTAAATAAAACCATTCTAAATGTCCCTTAAGATATCGAAAAAAATGTCGGAACAGTACCTTAATAATGTAGGATACAAATGTGGTGGCAGGATGCACACTAGGTATTTACTCTGTCTCCCTACTAAGGCGAATTGTGACACAAGGTCTTTTTTAAGGTGGGGACCCGAACGCGTACACCCGGACCAGGAACAAAAATGGCCCACAGCCCCCGCAAGCTCTCTTTAGTGCATTGAGAAGGCGCGGCCTCAGGCAGCTGTTCTCCAGGGCTGGGCACCTCTCAGTATAATTTTTCTCCTTTGCTACTCCTTGACGGGGTCACCCCTGAGTGCACTCTGCCCAAAGACAGAGACGGAACTGAGAGATGATTTATAGACTTGTTACAAACTCCTCAGGAGAGGAATTTACACACCAAAGCAGAAACTGATCACTAGTACACACGCTAAAGCGGCACCCAATTTTCTGTAAAAGAAAAAGCGTCCAAGTAATTTCAACTGTCTTTTCCTGATTCTGAATATGATTTTTCACTTGACATTTAAAAATATTCTTTTTGCTTGTTCAATTTATCCATGGCATTTTCAGTGTCCCTTCTTCAAAAGCAAATTTCTTCTGGCTTACGACCATATCACTTTGAAACATCGGTTCCTTTACGATCAACGAAGTTAAGAAACGTCGAGTCTGGTCTGTACGTAGATGGGTGACCACTTGGAAATACCGGGTGCTGTAAGTTGGATGTGCGGGTGGTGTAATGGATAACTGCTCAGAATTTCAAGTCGGAATGTCGAATTCAAATTAGGTTCATTATATTCACTTGGGCGCAAATAACCTTGGGGAAGTTAACGAATCCATCTCTTTTCCCCCCAGCTATCGGTTAATTATTAGGATGGATATCACTAAATGATTATTATCTAAAAAAAAAAAGAAACTTCTTACAATATAAAAATATTTTCAGTCTTTAAATATTTTGCAAAAGGTTGATAAACCGCAAAAAACAAATCAATCAAATCTATAAAAGGGTTTCTTTTTTAAAAAAAAAAAAAGAAGTAGTATGTGCTAGAAATGTAATGCCTAACGCTAAAATTGGAAATGGCGGGCCGGGTTCAAATTCTGACTGACTCTGTTGAGTTTATTTTCAAACTATTATGCTTGGAATCGCTCCGTGGCTTTTTTTCCTTCGGGTTAGGGGTGATGGCATAGCGTACTGAATTCTTCTGCATTGTATGGCACAAAGTCGACGAGGATAACTCTGAATTCAAAACATTGGAGAAGGCAACGAGAGGCATAATAATTCACTTATCAATAAAATAAAGGAAGCTGTGGAGAACCATGATCACCAAGGTCAATGAAAACAATAGTAGCCTTCTTCAAGGTATTTTCTATTTGTATTTAAATACCTTAATTTACTAACGAATAACGTCTTGGAATGATAAATCCGATAGCCGAGATCGAATTCCAGTCGGGTTTGTTACATTCAATTATGCGTATATTCCTGTGATTTACCTTAAACCGACACCGCCACTACCACTGAGTCAGGTTGTGACACAAGGTCGGTTTTTAACGTGGGGAGCCGATTGTTTCTCCTTGGGCTGTTACTCTAAGCTGGTCATAGCTTGTCATAGCTTGTCTGAGCTAGTCATAGCCGGTCATACCACCACTATGTAACAGATGTCACACAACGGTGGGGGGTAACGCAAGAGTGGAGAGAAGGACTCCGGCAGGGAAAAGATACTACAAAAGCGGCATCTACTCCGATGGGAAAAAAAACATTTCTCCTCCTCTGCCAATCCATCCGGAAGAATCCGAAAGAAAAGCCCCCTTACGCTAAATACCCTTAGGAAAGGTACAGATCTATCCATTACTCCAGTTATAGGTTAAATAATAGGATTTGTATCTAGGAAAATCATTGTCATTCTCAAAAATTATTAATTCAATATTCACTTGCAAATATATGTTTTGGTTTTAAATAAACCATAAAGGGTTGATAAACCGTAAAAAAAACCAAATCAATCATTTACCAACAACATTGAGTTTTATCAGGATGAAAATTATGTAAACTTTATCTGTCGAGTTAGTTTTCTTTTCTATACATTGTTCAGCCTTATTTGAAAAATGCTTTCAGAGTTGGTATATACATGTCGTTCAAAGTGAACCGTCTCTATATATCTCCATATCTACTCACAAAGGAGCTCTAATGATCTGACGAAAATGCAAAATACACTTTTAAGTATTCTATATAATATTTTTAACATTGAATAACTCTAATCACGTAGACTTCGTTTTTTAATTTCGTGATTTTTTTTATATGTTTCAAGCCTGTGGCAGTAAATAATCTATATTTGTCTCTAGACTTCGATGCTGTAAATATTTACTCTGATTTGCTTAGTTTGGTACAAGGTTATATGAGAATGGCTAGGAAGATTGTGCTGCATCAATCTTCTTCCTAGGGTGGATCTGTCTAACTGATATCAAAAATAGCATTTTATGTTGTTTTGTTTTACCTGGTGTACAACATCGACCACTTAAATCAATCGGAGGTGTATAACCATCCCAGTTAGGAAGACGACCTGAAGACATACCTGCTGCACTTAAGGAAGGGCATTAATGATTGCGAGTGACATAATGGTCAACAGACCGGAAAATAAAATAGGAGGTATAGTTTAAAAACAAATTAATGTCGTCGTAACAAAAACGAAATCATCTTTATCATCAGTCCTATGACAAGGTGTGGTCTTAGGGTTGCTGCGCGGCTAAGCAGCTGAACGGTTCTCTTTACATATCTGTTTTCTTAACCCTAGAACACTAACCATTGGTATATAGTACCTAGCGCAAATTTTCCTATTTTTAATTACTATTTTCAGTACCTGATTTTCTTACCTAAATATGTTTTTCAGTTCCTATTAATGTTAACTCAAAGTACAAAGTTTGAAGTGCCTGCATGTAAAATATTTCAAATAAAGATTAATATTTAATATTTTTTTATATTTTCAAAATCGGGTATAATATACCCATGGTTAGTAGTGGTGTAACTTTAATTGATGGTTAGTATTCTAGGGTTAAAACAGTTTTTTTTCTTTCCAGGAAAGAGTCCACTAAATGTTACCGGTGCTGCTGGTAATGACCGGAGTTTCCTTCCAAGCCTTTGTTTAAAGTAACGTGGAAATTCAAAATCTCCATAATGGTTTTATTTTCACCTCTAGATTCATGTGCTATTCATTTTTGTCATTGCTCCTGTTGGAAGTCTACAAGTATTTTGCTATTTTTACTTTAATAGCTCTTTGTGATTGTCTAGAGAGTCTGATACGGGATTATCGTCCTCAAGACCTACGAGATTTATTCGCTTGAAGCTATTTTTAATCATTGATCTAAGACAATGGTTGTATATAAATGTTTAGGATTTCATATTTATTCTTTACTAAATTATAAATTTTGTTATTTGAATTTTTCCTCTAAATTTATTCAGGTTCCTATCATTAATTCATTTTTGTCACTTTTCTTAATTTACTTTATTTTTCTATTATTATTATTATTATTACTACTACTACTATTATTATTATTATCACTATTATTATGATTATTATTATTATTACGATTATTATTAATATTATTATTATCACCATTATTATTACTATTATTATTAATATTATTATTATCACTTTTATTATTACCATTATTATTATTATTATTATTATTATAATAATAATATTATTATTATTTTATTATTATTCCTATTATTACTATTGTTTTTGTTACTATTGTCATTACGATTATTCTTATTATTATTACTATCATTATTAGTATTATTATTACGATTATTATTATTATTACGATTATATTATTACTATTATTATTACTATTAATAATAATATTATTGTTATTATTTTTCCTATTATTACTATTGTTTATGTTACTATTATTATTACGATTATTGTTATTATCATTACTATTACTATTATTATTACGATTATTATTATTATTTTTATTATTACGGATGTAAAGATCAGAGGTTGTTCTGAAGTAACAAGGGTTGTTTTGGCTTTCTTAAAATTATTATTATCATTATTATTTTTGCTATGATCGGCTTCGTCAAAACCACAATTTATTTCGTTTTGATATGTTCCCTTTTTTCTTCTTTCATTATTATTATTATTATTATTATTATTATTATTATTATTATTATTAACCTTGATGAATTCTAAGAAGAATCTATCGTGACAACGAAGCATATTTTCTTGAAAACATTATCGATGTTAAAAAAAGGGTGAAAAAGTGAAAATGTCCTGCTCCCAACAAAGACCAGAGAAGAGGCTCAATTCTTTCGTGACCTTAGATCTTAGGCTGGTGATTGAAACCACTGCACCCAAAAACTAGTTAAGTAAATAATATTTATCATCGCCGTTTCTTGTTCGCCATTTAACGTCTTGTCTCGCAAAGTTGGTCTCTCTGAAGTTTTCTTCAGCCTCACGACCAAACAAATAGTTTCAAATCTGAAATAACAACATTCCTTTTCGGTTTTTTTGGCGTCGTTCAAAGATTCCATGCCCAGAACAGTTCGTATCGTGCACACTGTCGTAAACAATTATTGATAAGTTTCATATTCGAGGGAAGAGAGGAAAGGGCAGAGATTGACTATAGTGACATCCGTAGCAACGTTGCCAGGTCTGACATTTGTTAGTCATCGATTATTTCCGTGTTTACAAGAAGCATTTAGTGGATTATGTGGCAGCAAGTGTTTACACATTTCCAGAACCTTCCTCAACAGTTTTTTTTCCAACTGCAGCCTTATCGACAGTAAACAATAAAAAGAGTGTTGAACTGCTGCATAAAATGCCCTGCTCTATGGCATTGAACACAAGACAATCTCTTCACAAATGTTGTAGAGACTTCAGGCAGCAGAGATTTAGTTCTACAGAAGGATGCTGAGAATACCATGGACGGAACATATAAATAACGAGAAGGTTTTTTTTTACGAAAGCGAAGAACAAAAAGGACAGTTATAATTAGAATTTGAAAGAGACAGTTGAAATTTTTCATGTAGGTAAAGGCTTCTGATTTCAAATTTCTTTACAAACGCGCATATATATATATATATATATATATATATATATATATATAAAATATATATATATATCACTTTAAAGATTATTGTTAGTGGATACTCGTATCTGAATAGCCGCTATTTATTTATAAATATGACCTTTCAACAACCTGATGAATATTCATGAACGTTCTCAAATTTAAAAGCCTTGATAAACTAATGACATCCTTGCTTTTGTATAAAAACACGTGCAACAAAATAACCCCTGCATTTGCCTTGATAAAGTCACTCAGTAGGCGAAACGCGTTGTCTAAGAACAGTTTTTCCTCTTGTCTTTTAACTCATTTTGTTCCTTTACAGATATCTGAAAATAATTTATACATGTATATATATATATATATATATATATATATATAGGGAAGTTTTTCGTGCGTATTCGTGATTTAATAAAGAAATTTTGCCCTCTGGCTGGGTTCGAATCGAATCTCCGTTGTTCTTGCACGGTAAACCACTGTCTGGTTCATTTACCATTTTTTTTTAATAAATTGTTTCATATCCAGGTCTAAATTCCGCAAGAACTTCAGCATTGTGCGATAAATTTAATAAATATACACACTCTCACTCCCCCACAAGTATATATATATATATATATATATATTGAAATGGACAAAGTCCGACAATTATTTTAAGACATTTTCATGTTTATACATTCTTTTTTATAAGGATATAAATATTTAAGTAAATTCTCTATTTTATAATAAACAACATTTACCGGCCTGAATGTCCGAGAAATTTTCATAGAAAATATTCGTCCTCCGATAGGAATCGAACCTGTAACCTATACGGAACCATCATAGAGCCTGACTTGCCTTTAACCATTTTGTCCACAGAGGAGCGTTCGGTTATCAAGGTCGATTTTACGGTCTTTACATTTGGATACTCTTTGAGTAAATATGAATGTACGTGAGAGATTCATGGAAGATTGAAGTTTAAAGGCAGTAAATTCGACCTTGCTAGACGAATGCTCCTCTGTGGCAAAACTGTTAAAGGCACGTCATGCTATATGACAGTTCCGTATAGGATACAGGTTCGATTCTTGTCGGAAAACGAATATTTTCTATGAAAATTTCTCGGACATTCAGGCCGGTAAATGTTGTTTAACACTGTTTATTATAAAACATAGCAGTTACTTAAATATTTGTATCTATAAAAAAAGAATGTATGAACATAAAAATGTCTTTTATTTATTTTTTTATATATATATATATATATATATATATATATATATATATATATATATATATATATATATATATATATATACATTCAACTGAATATATGGATTGTTTTTTATATGTATCTAGAGTTATAGGAATATAGGATATTTATTTATATAATATAGGATATTTATTTTGCAAACACGATCATCACATTTTGGCCGTGTTCATAGCTGATGCTATTCAGTCTTGTTTTTTTTTATTTCATTAATAATGCTTTCATTTTTAGCCTTTTTTACATGTTCATGAGCCTTTTATATTATATATATATATATATATATATATATATATATATATATATATATATATATATATATATAGTATTATCAACGAGTAAGTTGCGACTTGAGTTTGGTAGATCCCCATGTCTATTTAAATGAGACCTAATTCTAGTTCAGAGAGATGAAAAGTGAGTCTTCTTGATAGGCATGTTGTAGCATAGCCAATATAAGTATTTATGAATTTGGTGTTTGCGTGTCTTTCTACAGAATTAATGAATATTAATTTTTAAACGGACATATTGTTATCGCTTGAAACGTTATTTTTTAGTGGATACCGGTATTTGAGAAGACGCTGTTTTATTTTAAACGGCATTTGTTTCGTCTACTGGCCTGTACATTCGAAAAATCTTATAGAAGAAAATAAATGTGAGGTCCGACAAAGGTGGACACAGGTTCAAATCCTGCTGGAAGAAGCATTTTCTTTAATAAATGTTCTTGTGTGTGCAAGCCGGTAGACGAAATATACAATGTTTAAATAAAACGGAGCGTCTACTCAAATACGGGTGTCCACCAAAAATAATGTTTGAAGTAATATATATATATATATGTAAGCAAATATATGGATATAGATCTGACAGTATGAAGAAAAATATATACGGAAAAAAACAGACAAAAATCCATACAATTATGCTTTTCACAGCGTCGCCCACTTGACGACAACGTGACCATGTTTTAAACGAAGCACTGATCTTATAAAACTTTCAGTTATCTGTTTGGATAAGTCTTGTTCTTATGTACATCGTCTTTGTCATGTTGTATTGATAATGTTATAATTTATGAATATGTCCTGAAGATGGTTTATTAGACCGAAACGTCCGACTTTGACATATTAACATTAAAACAGCATAATTGTATATAAAGATTTTTGTTTGTTTTTTTCCGTATATATTTTTCTTCATATATATATATATATATATATATATATAGTGTAAATGTTTTTTATGTACACGCATGCGCTCATCCAAACAAGCTAACGAGCTGTCAGAAGAGAGGAAAGTGAATGACCTTTGAGAAAACTGACAACACCCGTGTGCGTTCGGGCTGAAGGCTTGATTCAAGCGTCAGTACATAGCTATTGATTTTGTTCTTAAGTATTCGCATGATGAAAGGTACGTCGGAGAAGCAGCTTAGAAATGTTCATATTTTCAAAGTGCCCCAGTGTTCATCGCGAAAGGAGCTTATTGTCGACAGTCTTAGAACTTTCGTCTGACTCATTGCGTTTACAGGTTGTCCCTCGCCTTCCTAAAACCTTTTGTTAAAAGCAGTAATCGTTTGATGAAAACAGAATACGCCTTTTGCTTTTGGTACTCACAGTCGCGACTTGTTTAAAATAATCGTTTATAGATGTATACATGCACACATATATATATATATATATATATATATATATATATATATATATATATATATATATATGCGCGTGTGTGTGTGTGTGTTTACTTTATGGTTTTATGGATATTCGATCTACTCCGATATTTGATCTGCTTATTCGCAATACAATACAAATAATCAAGCGATGGATTCGTTTCAATTAATCTAATGCTATTCAGGACAAACGAAATCTTGTGAGGGTGATAGAGTTTGAGAATTTTACCTAGAAAAAAGTATATATATATATATATATATATATATATATATATATATATATATATATATATATCAATGGAGACAAATTAATACACAAATTGACATCCCACAATCTATGTACTAGTGATCAATCGATCTCTGATCATATCTGAATCTGTTCATATCTATCTATTTTTGTTCATATCTACATCGGTCAGTTCATATCTATCGATCTATCTATTTATCCCTCTATCTATCTTAGCCTGTTCATATCTATCTATCTATCTATCTATCTATCTATCTATCTATCTATCTATCTATCTATCTCAGTCTATTCATATCTATCTATCTATATTAGCTTGTCCATATCTATCTATCTATCTATCTATCTATCTATCTATCTCAGTCTTTTCATATCTATCTGTCTATCTATCTATCTATCTATCTATCTATCTATCTATCTATCTATCAGCCTCTTCGTATCAAATTATGTGAAAAGTGAACTAATTGCTATTGGTACTTGGAAAGAAATTGGAAAACCGGCCTTGAAATGCATCTGATGCTTTTTTCCCTGCTCACTTTGCTCTAATTTCCAATGGGAAGGCATGAATCCAGATCACTCAGCATATATTTTCTTCACTAGACAACAGAATAAATTCCTTGTTGCTGACATACAATAATATTCAAAGAATGACACTCTCCCACCTACAACTTTCTGCTCACAACTTATGGTGGTAAAATATTTATTTACCTATTTATTCATACATGTACGCTTATTGTCTGCATGTTCATCATACATCTCATTCTCTGATTAAGCTTTAAATAAAAGCGAAACGTTAGATTTATAAACAGTTCCTTACATATATATTTTTTTTCTCTGCCAGGCCCGTTCTTCCGTCTATACGTAAGGATGTTCTCCCACCACACCATAATAGTTCACTAATTTATTCATTTAAATGTAGTTGTGATTCGCACTACATAAGGAGAACGACGCAAAGGCTAGATGCTAGAATAAAACAACACGTTCCAGCGAAAATCCGAAACCGGAAGTACACTCCCTCGGACATTCTGACCAATACGTATGGTTCTTCCATCGCAGAACACCTTATAAATAGCCATAATTGTGCTGTTAGCGGGGAGGCTTTTACCATCCTTAGTAAGTCCCACTCAAATAACCACCTAAAAGTGTTGGAGGCCATCTATATTCTATCATTAAAGCCTTCTCTTTGTAAACAGAAGGACTTTATATTAGGCCTCCAACTAATTACCATTTAATTTTTTTCCCCACCATTAAACTTTATCCATTGTTCTTTTTTTATTATATTATATAATTTTCTCTATTTACCTCGGGTTAGCTCTGTTGAGCGAGGTACGAAACCGGTTAGCTTGCTCGTTACTCATGAGTGGTAATAATAAAACTAATTTTTGTCTTTTCATGGCAGTGATAAAATTTTGTACCACCAAATATATATATATATATATATATATATATATATATATATATATATGTGAATGAAAAAATAAAAACAACAAAGCAATGATGGATTTTTAGCAAATAGACTAAGAGTTATTTTTAGTGGATATCCAGATTTGAGTAGAAGGCTTCGTTTCTTTATTAAACAGTATATTTATTTTTTACCGGCCTGAATATTCGGTAAATTTTATGAAACAAAATATGCCCTCTCAAGTATGAATCGAACCTACGTCCCCGTTGGTAGGAGAAACCGTCGTTAGATTCGACATGCTTTAGACTGTCTCAACCACGGATTGCGTTGACTACCGAGTAAAATTAAACTTTATGGCCTTGATTTATGGCCTGCAGATTGTCGGAGCTTAGTGTTGACCTCAATGTCTACTTTTATATTTACATACACTCAAACTTTGATATTGAGCCCTTTAACTCACAAATATATATTTATTTTTTACGTATCTAAGAGTGCTTAATTTTAATTCCTTTTAAAAGATCTTTTTTGGTAAACAAATTAATATCAATAAAGCTTGTTTTATTTACCGATTTGCAGTAACGTTTCATGAGTCGCAATTTTGCAAAATGGCTGACTGTTTTTTAATAGCATTCCCCAGATATATTTTTTTCTTTTTTATGTTTTCTGAATCAAATGCGTTAGCGTGCCAAAATAAATAATTAGTCGAATGGAATTTAATAAAAAAAAAACAGTAAAAGGAATAAATTGTAATCTATGCACGGAGAAGAAACAACAATTTACAAAATAGCGTAATGAATGAAACGAATTAAATTATTTCGAACTGTCCGCCTGCTGACGCATGCCTTTTAAAAGATGCATAAAGGACAAAGCGATTCTTCATGTTCAACATGAGACGAGTGTCTCTGAAGTGACTATCCTACCACTCGAACGGCTATAATTGGAGTATGCGTGCATCTCTACGGCCTGACACGTTTCTGGATCTCTTTCATTACACTGACTATTCTCACAACACACGTCAATTGTCTAACACTCAGACGGAGATGGAGCACTAGTGTGAGTGTTACTATATCACAAGATGAACACTTTGAAAATTGAATTATGCTCTAGCTTGCACATAATTTAACCACTCTTCTTTTCGATACCACAATTTTACGTATTCATGTTGTAACCAAAAAGCGATAGAAAGATAAGTAAAGAAAAATTACTTACTTTTTTCATCTCTGAAAATACGAACTCCAGCTTTCTTCATTTGAGAACCAAGGCGATGAGTTGTGAGCTCCGATTCAGGAAGAATATGATCTGTGATTAAATGCCGCAGAATCAACTGTTAATAAAAACAAACACAATTATTATTATTATTAGTAGTAGTAGTAGTAGTAGTAGTAATAGTATTACTTCATCGTTTACCCATGCCATCTACAAATGACGGTATATTAATTAATTTACCAACTGCATATTTAATTAATTTTGTAACTGTATATCTGTTTAATTTTACAACCGTATATTACTTATGGATAATATCAAAAGAAAAAAGAAATTTCTAATGATATTTAAAGCGTTAATCTGACAGTCATCAGACCGTATTATTTTCTTTAAAAACACTTTACAGTGATGCCTCGTTTTTTAAAGTCATTTTCGAAGAAACGTCGGTTTTTCTTAAATATTATACGGAAAAATAAAACTCGCCTTACTCGAGTTTAAGTAAATTTAAAATTGGTTTTGAACTAATTATTTTTAATTATTTTATTCAGAACATTTACAATGGGGAGGGCTTATTTGCCGTATATAGTGTGGCTATTTCGACTTAAATAGTTTTTTGAGCTAAGTCATGACATCTGGGACCAATTAGAGTGAGGTAACCTGTATATATAATTGTGTATTTCGGCAGCAATATATCTTTTATATAAGTTTCATTAAAGACGAATGAAAACGTACTGCGATTAAGCTTTTTATTCAATTTTCCTTGTGTTCATATAAATATTTTCGTTTCTGGGGATAAAGTGTGTAAAAACTGTTCGAATGTTATATATATATATATATATATGAATGCTTTCGGCTATTTTATTAATCATTATCAAGGATGATTTTTATATATGTGTATATATAATGATGGAAATGTTTTTTATTTTATTTTCCAAAGACAGTCAGCACATTCTGACCGTGTTCATAGTTTATATCCTTGAGTGTTGGCTTTTTCTTTTTATTATTAATGTTCTCATTATTTTTAGCCTTTATACGTGTGGATTTACATGTGGATAAGGCTATTATAGGTATATTTTCTACCAGTATGTTTCGGACAGAGTTTGGTAGTTTTCTGTGAATGGTTAAATGGGTCCTAATTGAGCTATAGTCAGAGAGATGTAACATCAGTTGTCTTGAGAGGTATGTAGTGGTATGTCCAATATAATTAAGCATTGTTTTGGATGGATCAGAAACACAGCTATTTAAGGGACATGTAAATTTATAAATGATATTGATCCTCTGTAACATATATATATATATATATATATATATATATATATATATATATATATATATATATATATATATAGTAGCTATATATATATATATATATATATATATATATATATATATAAAAATATATATATATACAAGTATATAATTGGTATATACGGAATGAATTCCAATAACCAACAATTATTTATCTTCAACATCATCACTTGATAAGACACCGAGGGTGTTGAAACAAAATGGCTATTTTTGTAGTGATTTTATAACATACATACGTTATAATTTTTTTTTAGAAATAATAATTATATATATATATATATATATATATATATATATATATATATATATATATAAATTCCCAAGAGGATAGAATCCAGGTAGAACTCAATGTCCAGGACAGAGTAAAAATATAATAAAAAAAAAAAGCTCAAACACTAATATTCCATAGTTATCATTTATTACATTGGAAGCGTAATCACGATCCAATTCATCAGACCTACAAATTCAAAAAAAAAAATCGGAAAATATAACTCCGGGTATACGATTCCAATGTAATAAATTATAACCATGGAATATTAGTATATGACCCTTTTACATATATATATAGTCGACTCTCCCGTCGAGATTCGACGTATGAGGGTCAAGCAGATCAGTTTCCAGGAAACCGACAGCTTGACACCGGCACATGAGATTTGATTATAGTGGTGAAGGCCTCGTGCAGGACCATCCACACTTTTTGAAGGGACGAATACAGAGAACTGGTGCACCAAATGCCACAAGGTTCCCAAACGACCCTCTGCAAGTTTTGAATTCAGAGTTGTCCTTCTCTTAGACCAGTTGCCATCCAAGGCTATAGAACCCAGTCTGTCTATATATATATATATATATATATATATATATATATATATATATATATATAGGGCGTGATGGATAAATGTTCGTACAAATTATGCAAAAATGAAAATAACAATGGCATATCATTTCAAAAGTTTACCAAAATTACACAAAAATATAATGAAATACTAAAGAGTAAATTTATTTAATAAAATCGCCATTGGATTTTTATGACGGCCTACAGGCGACTTCGTAATCTCTTCTGGGCGGTCTCCTTGTTTAAGTTGGTGAATGCCGCCATAATTCTCGCCTTCAGTTCGTCTTTGGTGTTGCCAGGAGTTTTGTTGGTCACTCGTTCAACTGCACCCAACACATAATAATCAAGACTGTTGCAGTGTTAGATGGCCAAATATAAATGGTAATGTGGTTGCAGAAATCGTTTGACAGCCATGCCTGCATGTGTGTCATGGTGCATAGTCCTGTTGCCAGCAGCGGACATCTTGACCAAAGCCAGCACTACCACTTCAAGGCACTTGGCCTAGGTCTCCGTGTTGAGCTTGAGTCCCTGCTGGAAGATGAATGGACGCATGACGTCACCGTCGCTAGTGATCACTCTAAAAACCTTCGTAATCACCATTAGACGCATCCAATTCTGCATAACACCGAAACACTGTGAAATGTTCGTCTTGGAGCTTCCGGTGCGAATGCCAAGCAGTACAGCACACCGTTTCCAAATTTCTGTAAGAGTAAATTGCGTCATGGTGCTCTTTTTTTCAAAGACGGTGCAAAACTGACCCAACTATACTGTG